TTACAGACAAATCGACTTTTCATAATAATGGGCTAGTAAATAGACATAATTTTCATTTTTATGACACAGAAAATAAACATTTATTTCGTACTGTTGATCACCAACACCGATGGAGTGTTAATGTTTGGGGCGGCATTATGGCGAGTACGATATGGGCCCGTATTTTTTGACGGACATCTCAATGGGACAAATTTCCTAAATTTTTTAAAACAAGACTTTTGGACACTGCTTGAGAACCTTCAACTTAGTCTACGAACAAAAATGTGGCTCCAGTTGGACGGCTTAGCCAAAAAAAACAATAAAGAGAATTAGAATTGATTTGACAGAATCTTAAAGTTGCTAAGAAAAAAAAGAACAGAAATTTGATATTATAAAGATAAAAAGGTCAAATATTAGAAGACAAAAGGAAATAATAGAGCTACATATTGAAAGCACAAAAAAAAGAAAAAAAGAATAAGCCAAGAGACATATCGGAACAGAAAAATGAAGAATAGATACCAATGAAAGGCATTGAAAATATTTGGAAATTATAAGAAATCTTCATTCAGTACCAAAAATTCGGTTTATATGGGTACACAAAAGGTGTTCTCGGACTTATTGGCTCAGTGACTGGTGAGTCAATAAAAGTTTCGCCATCATTCTGCATATATCATACAGGTCGGTCACAGGCACAAGTCAAAGATGCTTCTTGGCTCTTATCACTACCATTACCTGATCAATGTTTCGCCCAAGTCTAAACTAACTAGCAAGCATTACAGCTTATTCTTCTTCTTCAGTGCCTTATCCGGTCCGGATATTGGCGATCATCAAGGCTATCATGGATTTGTTGACTGCTCTGCGAAACAGCTCCGCTGAGGTCATCCCAAACCATTGTCGGAGATTTTTCAACCACGAGATACGACGGCGTCCCGGTCCTCTTCTGTCAAATACTTTGCCCTGCATAACGAGTTGAAGAATTCGATATTTTTCTTCGTTCCGCATCACGTGGCCGAGGTACTCAAGCTTACTTTGTTTAATTAAATTAAGCACTTCTTTTTCTTTTGTCATGCGCTGTAGGACCTCAACGTTGGTGACATGGTCCACATAAGATATTTTTAGTATCCTTCTGTATATCCACATCTCGAAGGCTTCGATTCGTTTTTCAGTGGCTTGCGTCAGTGTCCAGGCTTCAACTCCATATAGTAACGCCGGAAGAACGTAGCACCTCACTATCCGCATCTTGGTTCCCAAACTGAGATCACTGCAGCACAGCAAGGATCTCAACTTAATAAATGTAGACCGTGCCATTTCAGTTCTGGATCTAATCTCTTGAGCGTAGTCCCATTGTGAGTTGAGGATAGTTCCGAGGTAAGTGAGTCTGTCGACTCTCTGGATCTCTTCGGTACCTGCCATTAGTGCCCCGGGATCTAAATTTGTACGGCTGACAACCATGAATTTAGTTTTCTTAATATTAAGGTTCCATCCGTATGTTACGCTCACAGTTCGCACTCGGTCTAGTAAGGCCTGCAGATCGTTTAGGCTGGTTGCTAGTAACACAGTGTCATCGGCGTAGCGGATATTATTGATGTATTCACCGTTCACTCGGATTCCCATCTCTAGGTTTGTGAGGGCTTCAGTAAAAATCTCCTCAGAGTATATATTGAAAAGAGTCGGCGATAGCACACATCCTTGCCTTACTGCTCGCATGATCTTCACTTGGTCGGTCAGCTGGTCTTCGACCTTGACTTGAGCACGCTGGTTCCAGTATAAATTCGTAATGATCCGAATGTCCTTCTTATCCAATCCTACTCTTTGTAGGGCAGCGAACATCTTCTGGTGCTGACAACGGTCAAATACCTTGGCGTAGTCAATAAAACAAATATAGACATCACAACTGACATCGCGGCATCTCTGAAGTAGGACTTGTAAGGTGAAAAGTGCTTCACGTGTACCCATGGAATTGCGGAATCCGAATTGCATTTCACTGACATTTTCTTCGCATTTCTTGTAAATTCTGGCATGTATGATTTTAAGAATAATTTTAAGTGCATGACTCATAAGACTGATAACTCGGAAATCTTCGCACGTTTTGGCAGATCGTTTTTTTGGTAGCATTACAAATGTTGACAATAGCCATTCCTCTGGGATATTACCTGAATCGTATATGGCGTTGAACAGTTCAGTTAACTCCTTCGTGCTCACTTCACTCATCACCTTAATAAGTTCAACGGGTATTTCGTCCGGACTTGTAGCCTTACCATTCTTAGACTGTTTTAAAGCAGCCTTTACCTCGCTTTCTAGAATTGACGGCCCTGTCATGCAATTTATTTCCGGAAGGTTGCCTCGGTCGTCCCAGAAAAGTTCTTCGATATATATTTTCCAGGTAACCAACTTCTCATTCACTGTCGTCGCCAGATTACGGTCTTTATTTATGAGGAGGTGTGTGTTTCTCCCCTTGTATTGACCAGTGGCTTCACGAATCTTTCGGTGGATATTTATATGATCGTGTTTATCTTGGAGCTCCATGATTAGTTTACATTTTTCTTGCATCCATGTCTCCTTGGCTCTTCGTATTTCTTTTTTAATTGTCTGGTTGGTTTCTCGGTATTCTTCGCGTCCCTGTTTTTCATTAATCTTCTTTGTTCCATCATCTGCACAATGTCATCAGTCATCCATTCTTTATTTTTTACTCTTTTTTTCTTTCCCAGATGTTCTTTTCCCGCATTCAGCATGACATCTTTGATATAACTCCATTTTTGATCTACACTCTCTTGTTGTTGAGCCGTTTCTAGTTTTTGTCTCATTGTATTTCTCACGTTCTGACGAACTACGGGGTCTTTTAGAGTGTCATAATCCAGGTTCTGTTTAGGTTTATTTTTGATGAGTTTCTTTAGTTTGAGTTCTATCTGGCCCACTAATGGGTTGTGGTCCGATGAGACGTCTGCTCCTGGGAAGGTCTTCGCCGAAGTCAAGCTGTTTACATTAACCATGATGAATGAACTAGGGACTCTTTATGGGGTGGTTTCCCGTTGCATTCCCCATCGCAGTGTCACAACCGATTGACTCATGATGTGAGTGGCGCCTGTGAATCTAGAATTAAGCCTACAGAATTTTTTTTTATTTTCCCACAGCCTTAATCCAGTAATGACATTACTGCCGCCTAATGTCATGTCCTCAGTTGATCCGCGGGTACTTATTTGGCTAAGCCCTGTATATCTACAGGAACTCCCCTAACAGCCATTGGGACGCGCAATCTGTCTTGTGCGAAGTACTGAAGGACCCCTACTTAATTCAGAGTCCCTCCTCTACCCAAGCTGAGACCGGCACAGCCAGATTACAGCTTCAGTTAATACAATTAGTGATTAGTAACAAGCTACATTCGTAACTTTGGTTTAGCAATATAATAATTACTGGTTATAGCATAAATATTCTGATACTTTTATATGAAGTCCTCTCAAAAAATGGTCTTCCAGTGAAATGGTAGAAGATAATAAACATTGCAAACTACAATATCAAATAAATTGTGTAAAAATGTTGGTATAATATGAAATCATATTTTATCATTTCCATCATTTGAATCTAACTATTGCCACAAATCTAGTTCGAATAGCTATCTTACACTTATAGGTACCTTGTACTTTACACATATTTTTTGTGTATATAATGTACAGAGAATTTTGCAAAACATAAGATATTCCCTAACCAGTATTTTTAGAGAAATATAAATTTTCGATACCCCAACACCCTGAATTTCTGAAGGCCAGAAAAGATCAATGTCACCAGTACCTTGCACAGAAAAATATGTCTAAAGAATCAGAAAAGAAAACAAGGAACATTTAAAAATAAAAGATACAGCCAGAAAATGAAATTCAGATACGATGATGAGGGAAATATCTAGTATGAATGTTAATTAGCAACTGCAGATTATGGGAGTAAACCAAAATTTTAATAAAAAAAAATCGTTTATACATATTGCAAAATACTATAATATATATATATATATATATATATATATATATATATATATATATATATATATATATATATTATATATATATATATATAATTATTAAAATACTAGTGTAATCAATAATGTGAATAATCTTAATCTTATAAAGACTAAGGAAGAACTTATCTATATAACATGCATAACAGGAGAGTTTAGAACATTTTGGCCTGAAAAATAGCCTCTTCTTAAAGTTCTGTCTTCTATTAGAGGTTTGATCCAAACATGGCATTTATGGCAGCTCTAAAAAGTTGGATCCAGCTTAAGTTAAACCATTCTCTCAGATTTAAAAAATATACAAAAAAACCAAATAAGAAGGCTAATTTTTAGCAATCACAAATGCAAAAGCATGTTTTTGGTACAAAGTTAAGGTTTCTGGATGGAAATAAAGAAAAAGGTTGCAAAAACAAACAATTTAGTTCAAAATACTAGGTAAAATCATAAAGAAGGTGTACTAGGGATGGGCATTATACAAACTTCAGTTTGTATATAGAAAACACAAAAAATAATGGAAAACTCAATTCAAATTCTATGGTACATGTTTGATTTTGATGTTAAAATGTTTAAGTTATTTTATATGCCATAATCATCTTGGTGTATAAATGCAAATAAAAATTTTCTTAAATTCAAAAATATTAAAAATGACAGTGAAAATAAATACATATAGTAAAATCTGAATTTCAACTATATGAAAAATACCTGAATTTTAGGAAAATTAATGCAACTAAATAATGTAACACAGTTACCTCAAAGACTTTTGCAGAATACACAGAATAATTTATGAAACACATACAGTATTGGAGTCATAAAGCCGACTATTAGAGACACCAAATGTTATCCATCTGTTAGCTAATTTTATGTAAAAACAACATAAAACTATGTTATCAGCTTCATTGCAAAAGTTACATATATACATAAATATTTTTTGATAAAAACCAAGTTGATAAGCTCACACATTACTGTAACAATATATATTTAAAATATTTTAATGTGTAAAAAAGTTTTACATACCTACCCCAATAATCCAACAGATTGTTCTTCAAGTTCCGCTAGAAGAGATCTTGAACTCATTAGCCGTCTAAACATTCAACAGGTCGGAAAATCAATATCTCCCACCCAATACGTAAAAAGGATAATAATGGTTCATACAATTTTAAAAGTGCATTTTCATTTCCATGTCATGTTAAAATTATTCATGATTCTTCACGTAAAATATTAATATTATACTAACAATAACAATGACAGATTGTATACAAGTACAACACAAAAACAAAAGTTATAGTATAGTCATATAACCTAAAATAAAATATTGGCTAATGTTTCTGTAGCATATTCAAAGTAAAGCTTTTCCCGCTAGTCTAAACTTATAAAGTTAAATGAACCAAAATAAATTCATGTAGAAAGCTAAAAAATAGAAAAATAGTCTAATAATCTATTATGTATTCAAATTGAATAAAAGACGCGCCGCGCCGTACTGCCTAGGGATTTTGGTAATTAGGTTGGTGCTACAAAAAATACTAGATATATGACGTCTAGTCTGACAGTTCATATGTCTCTATCATGTAGTCTGACGTAGTTTGAAGGACTTTCCCTGGTTTAATTTTAGATGCGCCATTGCCAAGCTTTTTAGAAATATTTTGCTTTTAGACATATTTATTGAATTGAATGTAAAAGTTCAGCAGGATCTTTTTAGTGTTCCACATAATGTGTCTCTAGTAAACTGTGTTGCCCAAGATCTTGAGACGACTAAAGGAATCTCATCCGTATTTTATAAGAAGTTCGGTCGTTTGGACCAATTAAAAAATCAGCAGCCTAAAGTTGGAAGAGTACTGAGAGTGTTTTTTTTGTGTGTTTTGGCTCGGACAATTGTCATTCAGCCAGTCTCAATCAAGATAAGTTTATTAATGTAGTGTGTGTGTTTTGTGTGTAGAGTAATTGTCTTGATACTTAGCAAAGTCGACGTCATTGTCTTTGCTAAGACGCTAATTGTACCGAGAGTGACTGAGAGTAGAAGATGGTCCTCGATATTTGCTGTATATGGTGACCAAGAAGTCGTATACAGATAGGGCAAGCTACGAGGATATATGGCGTGCTCTAACTAATTTGAAAAAAATCGTGTGCAATTATGACATTAAGAATTTTGCCTTACCGTGCTTGGAAGATTGTCAGAATCATGCTTGAAGTGATCTTCCAAGAAACCGGCGTACGAAATACTGTGTTGCATTAACCCGAAAAGATCGTATCCTTCAAAGTCAGTAGACTGTTATTTCTTCTTGAGGGGTTTATGCAGAGCTGGAGAGTCCTGTAGATTCCGCCATCCTGGGCCTACATATAGAGTTGCTGATCGGGACGCTCAGATCTAAGAGGAGAGCAGTGTTACGAACATCCAAATTGGTGGAGATGTGAGAAGAACACACAAGAAAATCAAAAATTTAAGAAAAAAATTACAATATTTGGAAAGCGTGTAAAGAATCAGATACCATCTAAAAGATGAAGCGAGTCTATGGTTTGAGAGTAAAGAAGAGAAATTTAATAGTTGGGAAAATTTTGAAAAAAAGATTTTTAAATTAATTTTGGGGCGAAATTCAGCAACTCGGCACTAACAAGGAACTACAGAACGGGAGACATAACGACAAAAAAGGAATATCAGAAAAAAACCTATGCATTATAGATCTACAACAACGCCAAACATTGAGAATACAACTATTCATCAGAACACCTGTAGAACTAATTGCAACATATTTCTTAGAAGATTATGTCACTTTGCAAAATTATAAAGATATTGATGGTCTGTGTCACTTCTTGCAAATAAGGGAATAGTGTCTACGAGAAAAAAAGCGAGAAGAACGCAAGTAACGCAGGATTACAAAGATAGGGGACAGAATTATCATTAAGAAAGGCCACAAAAGAATTTATCCTGAGAAAAGAATATGAGCACTGAGAAAACAGAAGAGAAAATTACGAACAAAGGAACTAATAATGGAACAGATAAAGACTTAGGGAAAATCGTAATAGGAACACGTATACAAATTCTAGAGAAAATAACAATTACAGTAGAACAAATGAACAAGGGTATCGGGATAACAGATACAACTCAGAAAAGCCAATAGAAATAAGAAGAGCAGTATGGAACAGACAAAGACTTAGGAAAAATCGTAATAGGAACACGTATACAAATTCTAGAGAAAATAACAATTACAAGAGAACAAATGAACAAGGGTATCGGGATAACAGATACAACTCAGAAAAGCCAAGAGAAATAAGAAGAGCAGTAAATAACACGACAGTAGAAGAGTCTGTGGAAGAGAGACAATGCGATGACAGCAGAAACACAGAAAGACAACATGAGAGTTAACGAAGGCTCTCACTAAAAACGAAGAAGCAAACCGGAATTTTTTGCCACCCCTAAGAATTCATAAAACTGGCAAGACACAAGAAAAAAAGAAAACGGATCAAATTTAAATTTTGTGATTAAATTTATCAATGAAACACCTATCAAAGTTTTGATAGATTCAGGATCTGAAATATCGCTGGTAAATAGAAAGTTAATAGAAGAAGTTAATTTGACACATTTAATTTACAAAATACCTAGGGTGAACTTAGTGAACGCGAACAAACGAACATTGGCAACAATAAATGAAGGCATACGAATTAAGGTAGGACTGGGAAAAAGTATTTTTCGCTACAATATGTGGTCATGCCTAATATGATAGTAGGCATAGACGAACTGTGGAAAAACCATGTAGTGATGGATTTTAAAAAGAAAACAATGAAAATTAACGATGAAGTGGTAGAATTGAAAAAAAATTGAACGTTCCCTGGACGTTCGAACTCGGACGTTTCCTGGACGTTCGACATTTACCAATTATGGGATCAAATAGCAAATGTTTCAATAAAATAAATAAATTATTTACATTAATAAAAAAATTAAAAGCGAAAAGGTTAATTCTTGATTAATTAAAAATTGTATAGTTTAATATATCCAAAACATGTTTTTGTTTTTAGGTAAAGTGTAAAAATCTTTTATTTCTAGATAATTCGTTACAATTGTTTTATTATTTTAGGTATCACGATGATAATATGTTTGCTAATTCTAATAAGTAAAAATATGATTTTTATCAACAAGATGAATCTGGAACATATCTTTTTAATGATGAACAAATGGTAGTATATACTCTGGCTGGTTAATTGTCATTGTCATGATGTCATATCACACCTATTTAAACAAATAATGTTAATTATAATATTATTAATGGTGTAATAAAAGAAATAAAAGAATTCTATTAAGCGGTATACAGTGCATTGGTTTTTTATGTTTGCTTTAGTTATATTCACAGACCAGGTGATTTGTGGTTATATTGTTAAAGATTTGGTATCATTTGTTAGGTTAATTCCGATTCCAAGTTTGGTTTTTATTATATTATAAAAAGGATGACAAATAGGTAAGTGAAATTTTCCTAAAATTGGTAATTGGTTATGTTTAAAAGAAAACGATTTGTTTCTAAGCGTCATCAACTGAAGAAGGTTACGAAAAACTTTTTAAACTTTTTTTTACTTTTTTAAACCTTTCTTCGGAATCCCTAACTGATTATTTTTGATTAGAGTTTCAGTTCAAATAGTTCAGGTTACAATACTTCCGATTTAAACTTTTTATTAACATGTTAAGTACCTAAAATAATCCAAATTACCACGTGGACGACCATTTTGGTGATCCTTTACAAAGCTATTCTTTCAATGAAACTGAAGAAGGGTCTAAACATGGTTGTAACGAGAATTCTAGAGAACCTTATCGAGATATTTTTAATTTTTCTAATAAGTTATGCAACTCGACTTTGTCCTTTATAATACTAGGTGATTTATTAAAAATTCTTAAAGATGTTCCCGATCTTTCTCTTTCTCATTTTAGTTCAGATGCTAGAACCCTTCTTGCTTTATCCAGAGAACAAATACTCTGATCCATATTATTCAAATTTCAAAGATATTTTTATCTTCACAATAGAACCATATTATAGAAATTTGTTTAAATTTTGATGGAATCCCACTAAAAAAGAGTTTAAGTAGTCAGTTTTATCCTAGTTTGTGTAATTTGTTTATATATCCTAAAATTGTAGATTTAATAGGCACTTACCATGATTTTGATTGATTTTGTAATAGAGGCTGTTTTTTTATTAGATAGTTTAAGCTAAAATAATTAAGCATGGATGATCAAGTTTGTGGGGTAGTTAGATTTACATATTGATTTATATTTTAGGATAATGAACTTTCCAAAATTGGTGAGGAGACCATAAACAAATTTCTTAGGGGAAGCCATAAGAAGCTGATCTGCAATAAATTTCAAGGAAAATATAGTTGGCTAGGGAAAAAGCAATATAAAGCTTTTGAAGACACACATATAACTCTGATTTTAAAAGATTTGTAACTTGTAAACATAAATCAATTTAAGGTAGGTATGGTCTAAAACTTTTGTATCAATAGCTTTAGGTACTACTTGAAGCACTAAAATGCAAAATGAAACTTGTGTACTTATTTTTTTATTCATGTTTATTTTATTTTTATCTGTACTTTTGTGTATATTTCTATAATGTTGCATTTTTCTATAATTTTGACAGTGAATTAGTTCCATTTGTTATTAATAAATAAATATATGTAATATAATAAATGTTAGTTCCTTTAAACATTTGTTTTATTACTCAAACTTATTTTATATTTCTATAATGTTGCATTTTTCTATAATTTGATAGTGGATTTGTCCCGTTTGTTAATAATAAATAAATATAAATAAATGTAAGTTCCTTTAAACATTTACGTTTTATTTCCCAAAATACATTCTTAATATACACAGGATGACACCACTTTTAGTACTTTATACAATGGCGTTGACGTGTAATTTACATCCTCAGCGCTAAAATAGACGTCCGAGAACATCACAAAAGTCCGTCAAGTAAGTTTTCCAGGAGTATTATGGACGTCCGATTAAGGTCCAATTAACGTCCCGGTACGTCCAACTAACATCAGCTCGGGACGTAAAATGGACGTCCATAGGACGTTCGGCGCAGCGACATTCGGACCAATATAGGACGTTAAACGGACGTAAATAGGAACAAAGCGGTCGTTCGAGGGACGTCCTTAAAGGACGTACTATGGACGTCCACTGGACGTACGTGTGCTATTAGGGAAAAAATATAATAAAAGGAATATGGACAAAGTTGATGAAGAAAATGTGGTAGAAATGAATTTGGCAATGAAACAGAGACTAAGAAACAGAAGAAGGCGCAGTCAAAGAAAAACAAAAGAAATTAATGACTGGAATTCCTCAGAAGAGGCGAAGAAAAAGGAAAAGGTAAAAGAAATTAAAACAGGGCATTCCTCAAAAGGGACGAACTTAGAAGAAAAAAAATGTTAAAAGAAATGAATGAATGGCATTTCTCGTATGTGCAAAGAAGAAGAAAAAAAGAAGTTTGGCGAAATTATTGCCTGGAATTCATCCAAAGAGACGAGTCCAGAAGAAGAAGAGAGGGTAAGAGAAAACATTCGCACATGGGATACATGAAAAAAGATGAACATAGTCGAAAATACAGAGAATAGAGTCGAACAAAGGTATTTGAAAATGGCATGTATGAATACGAGGGGACAGAATATTCTGTAAATATGTGTAAACAAGATAAAGAGGACGAAATAGAACTAATGTGTGGAAAAGGAGATACGTTTAATTTAAAAAATTATGAAAATTTAATAAGCGAAGAAAAGAAAGTGGCCAGAAAATACGAGCATTCATTTGAAGTTAAGTTTGATTTGTTTTGTTTTCTTAGGCAGGTCCTGATAAATGATTGATAAGCTTCTTAAGTTAAGTTTGATTTGTTTTGTTTTCTTAGGCAGGTCCTGATAAATGATTGATAAGCTTCTTTCTTAGAGGAGAGACCATTACTGATGGTCAGATATTCATCAGATATTATTGAAATCGACTACATTTAAATCTGCTACTTCCTACATGCTCTCCATAGCCCTCACTAACTCAGTAGTCCATTTTTTTTATACTACCACAGCACAGTTTACCCACGGAGTCCCTGCGTTAAACGATGTTTTATAAAACTACAGAAGTTGATTTTGACTTCCGATATTAGCCTCATCCACTGCTTGTTCCAGTTGGTGGATGATCAGGCCTGCTTAAACCCGATCTACAATAGTTGAGTATCAGGATAGTGTCTGTGTGTCACCGCCATGCTGAAAATTTTTGTGATATTGCTGTATGACTTCGTCTGCTCGTTAGAACTTTTTTCTTATCCTCTTCTGTTGGGTTTTAGAGAGACGTTTCTTGATAACTGGTTCAGAGTCTGTTCCTCTCAAAACACTTCTGCAGATTCATTTTTATTTAAACTTTTGTTCGTATTACATACGTTTAAGGAATACACTTAATGGTAATTTGTATATAAATATATAGTAACTTTTGCATTTAAAAAGTATAATACTCTTCTGAATATGACTAAAAATCAAATTTATCCATAACTGGATATGGACTACATTTGAATAATAATAGTGATTCATTCATTTTCAGCTTGAGAGATCTGACAACGTTGCCAGATGTATGACGTATTTCGTGACGAAATGTTTTATTTTTATTTCACAAATCACGCTCACTTCAATTGTTCAATTCAAAATGGCAGCGTAGTAAAATGTATATTGTGATGTTCATTGTAAACGATATAAAAATGGCTATCGATAGTGTTATAAATAATTATATGATTCAAATAAACAAAAATATAATTGAAAAGTGTTTGTATCCTGTTCAAGTTTTGTGCTCAAAGTCTGTGAATTATCAATTGCAAGGTCTTTGGACATTTCCTGGTGGTCATACAGATTTTAAACATTCAAATAGAGGATTTAACACTGTGAAATCTAGAACGAGATTGCCTTGTATATTCTGAATTGCTTACTAATATAAAAATGTGGAACTGTACAAGATCTTTTAGTCCAGCGGGACCTGTTATAGGGCCATTTCTACAACCACAAAAGAGAGATTTCAGTTATAACATGTCAAATCTATCTGTGGTTCCTAAGAAACTATTTTCGAATCAAAACTTTGTTAGTAACCATTATCCAAAAGTACAAAATCATTTTAACAGCACATCCTACAGCCCATATCACACTTGTCATAATACTGGTGACACAATTGAACTTATCAAAGTAAAATCTTCTGAAAATTCTAGTCAAAATAATATAGATATAATTCAAGAAAATCCTCCGGAAATTCCTATAGAGAAAAGTCCAATTCAGAATAATCAAATGTGCTCTACCAGAAAACGGTGTAAAAAAAATAGAAGAAGTCGAAAGAAAGTAACTAATAAAAGTTCAAAACAAAATAAATCCAGAAGACAGATTAGTGATATGATGGAAGTAGATATTGAACCTGATGTCTCTATGGACAATACTGACTTGTAAGTAACATTATTAAATTGCAGTTATTTCATTTATGCAACAGACACATATAAAGTGTTGTTCTAGATCAAGCATTCTACTAAACTAATAATTCTAGCTATTCCTAAATTATTACTGTAAAGTGCAATATTTTAGTGAAATGAGACTGTAGCATTATGTTTAATGTCAGTTAACTAGCTATTTCTTAGATCTTGTCATACCCCCTCTGTGGCTCAGTGGTAAGAGCACCTGCCTTTAAATCTAAAGGTCGTGAGTTCGAATCCCACCTGGGTGGAAATTTTCGTTTATTAAAAAAATTAATAAATGAAAATAATTTCTATCCTTGTGTGATCGCCGCAGACGTTCGGATACAATTAGCGTCTCTTAGCAAAGACAATGACGTCAACTTTGCTAAGTATCAAGACAATTACTCTCCACACACAAACTCACACACACACACACACACACACACACACACACACTACATTAATAAACTTATCTTGATTGAGACTGGCTGAATAACAATTGTCCAAGCCAAAACACAAAAAAAATAGATCTTGTCATATCTAATACTGTAATGGGCTGCAAGTTGCAAAAACAATGTTGGTTCTTAAATAATGTTTACTTTCTAAAATTGGGGTGCAAAATTATATTTTGTATCCCGGATTTTCATATATATTGTATCTATATCACATCTGTTTACTTCTATTCAGAGATACTGCTACAAGCATATTGCAATATAAAATAGCAAAACACAGAGGTACTGAATCCTAAATGTCCAATTCCTATGTGAATCTGACTTGAATTTTTTTTTTGTGCCTTGGTGTAAATTAAATAGTTTACTTCTTTGTTCTTCTTCTTCAAGTTCCACTCCTATCGGAGATTGGAAATCAGTCTGGCAATTATAATTTTATTGGTTACTCGCCTGAATAGTTCAATTGAACTGCATCCAAACCACTCACGGAGATTGCGTAGCCACGAGATTTTACGTCTTCCTACGCTTCTTTTACCTTTGATTTTACCCTGCATTATGTTCCTTAGTAGTTCGTACTTTTCACCTCTCATGATGTGCCCCAAGTATTCCAATTTCAATTTCTACTACTACTTCTTTGTAGTACCTAGGTATTAGATAGTTGGTCCAAAGGATCTGAACTGCACATTAGCATAATATAAACATTATTGTTGGTCAAGAACAGCAACATTGATACATGAAGCTATCCTTTATGTTTTATTTTTATTAATTTGTTCAGCTAACTATTTTTCTTTTGTTTTCCTATAAAAAGGATTATGGATTATGACTGTTAATTTAGATACAATATACAGTGATGAGTGCCTTACCACCCGGCATAAGAGGTAGAAAACACAGTTACCTTGTGAAATAAAAAGAGATGAAACTCGTAGAAGTGGGAAATAATTGATAGAAACCTATAATTTACATTACATTACCACTATCGATAGTCTCACACCTTTAGACGTTAGATGTGGCTATTTGACTTCAGTCATAATTATCAGGATAACCTCGAAAATATTTTATTTTAATAATTTCTGATGTTAGGACAAATAATTCAATAAATTTAAGATATATTATAGTAAAAAACATTAATTAGTAGCGATTTTAAATTATAAATCTTCAAGTTTATTTAATAATAAAAATAACTCAACTGAAATATTGGATTAAAACAAAGGTAGGTATGTTTTGTCCAAAAACAATGAATGTATGGGGAATTGGTGTAATAGTTAGAGATGTGGTCTATTGACAAGAAGATTGGGGTTCAATTCACACCAAGGGTAAAATTTTTGTTTTATCAATCAAAAAATAATAGAAAATATGATACATATTAGGTAACAAGTTTTTGAAAAACTCATTATTTACAATTTATTCTTATTCCAATGTTATAAAACGGAATACAAAATAATTCAAATTTAATTTCAGTTTTACTGTCTTCAGTTGTGAATGCAAAATAATCTGGTGAAAACTCTTTATGTCAAATCCATCACTAAATTCTTAGTGTTAATATCAATTCCTCTGTACAGGTAATGGTTTTCAAAACAATGGACAATTGTAAATATGTTATTTACAATATTTTTTTTTTATTTTTGTAGAATTTTTACTTATTTAAACAAAATCCACAAGGAAAACAATTCCTGTAGCTGGCTGTATACCACGTATCACAAAAAAAGAGGTTAGTCTTCGTAAGTGGGTATATTTATTTAAAAACCCTTAAAAGGGCTACATCACAAAAAACAAACGTTTTCGGACTAAACAGTCCATCATCAGGTTTAAAATCGCTAGGTTAAAATGCCTGAGCCACTAAAAATACATGGGTAAAAACCCTTTAAATTACATATAGTTGTAAAAGATTATACTCTTTTTTTTTTATTTAAACATTCGTTAAACATTCATTTACTTTTGAAGAATTTTTACTTTCAATTTTACTTTTTTAAAAAGATATTTATGTTTAACTTTCAACACTTCTAATACTAGTAACGACTGACATAAATGTTCAAAAGCAAAACGATCTCTGCATAATTTCAAATTTAAAAAAAAAAACACATGTAGGTTTTGAACTCTAATCGTCTGCATCGCACTGTCGAATTCTTACCACTACTCCACGAAAGAATGATAATTATTCCGTGACAAGAGTGTATGAAACTCCTCAAATCATAGTAGAAATTAGTCTTGGTTAATAATTTAAAACTTTAGATTAAATCTTCTTCTTAAGGTTCCATCTTCTAACGAAGGTTGGATATCAACATGGCAATTCTTATTTTACTTACAGCAGCTCTAAATAGTTGGCTAGAGCTCAGACTAAACCATTCCCTTAGATTTCGTAGCCAGGAGGTTCGTCTTCTTCCTACATCTCTTTTACCTTTTATTTTGCCCTATATAATCAAACGTAGTAGCCCATAACGAGGACCTCTTAATATATGACCGAAATATTCAAGTTTCCGCCTCTTAATTGTCTGTACAATTTCTTCCCTCTTATTAACCCTATCAAGGACTTCAATATTGGTAATTTTGTCTACCCATGCTATTCGTAGCATCCTTCGATAACACCAACGCTCAAAAATTAAATAATCACTATTATTTAAAGATTAAATAATCACTATTAATTAAATTATTTTATTCACATTTTTGCTTTATTACGGTCAATCAGTTTTTACTTTATGCGAAATTAAAAAATCTAAATATGTCACACATATGACGTCAAACATAATAATTATGACCAAGGTGATTTAGCTTGAAGCTAACATCTAAAGGTGTGAGACTAGCGATAGTGGTAATGTAATGTAATGTAAATTATAGGTTTCTATCGATTATTTCCCACCTCTTTTTATTTCACAAGGTAACTGTGTTTTCTATCTCTGACATTAAAAAGCCAGGTGGTAAGACACTCACTGTATAGTTTACTAAGATAATGTGGGTTGTGTGTCAAAATTTAGAGAATAAAAGAAAGGATACTTGCTACTGTATTCTTTATTGAAGTCACTTTATTGCATACACATTGTCAATTCATCTAAAATTAGTTAAATTAGTATATATCCATTAGAAGCAAAAGTTTAACTTACGAATAATGAAAATTAAAACATTCTCAAAATTGCATCATTTCAATTCAATTTCATTCATAAAAAACAACTAAGTAAGTCAGTTTTTTATGTAAAATATGTAAAAAACAGAAGTATATAAAATAATTGAGTATAGGAACAGAATACTTTCTAACATAGAGGAAAACAAAATTCCAAAAGCACTGATATTGTTTATTGATTAATCATTATTAAATTTTATATTACCAGCAAAATCACCAAACAAAACACTTTACTTAATGGTCTACAATTGAAAGAGGAAGTCAACAGTACATGTTGTTTAGGCAAGATAGAAAGCCAACAGCAAATGTGTGATAACTAAATTCCGAATGCACTGTGTTCAAGAGTGACATTAAGTCAGACTACTATTTATTTATTTTTGTGTTATTTACTACTGACCAGTAAAAACTTTACATTTGTATTTCTTCCTCCACTATTTCTAAATAGAAGATCTTTTGATTTTGTTTACTTAATCTATTCAAAAAATCCCTAGAGTCGGGGAGGTCTACATGGCAGCTCTGGTAAGGTTATATCCCCCTGACCTTATTTTAGGTAAAACATCTAACCTTTTGGCAATGTTTACATCAGTGTATACTAAAGTGTGACAATGTTTTCGACCCGCTGAAAAACCCTCAAACGCACGAACACATCACAGTAGATAAATAGTAAAATACACAGAATATCAAATATACCAAACGAAAACAGAACCATTAACGAATGCTGGCATTATATTCAAAACTCGATTTTAGAGAAAATTACAAGAGTCTTTGAAAACACCTACCATGTTGGCAAAAAATGAGTGGATGACACAAGAAATTCTAGACCTGATGGAAGTTCAAAGGCAACACAAAAATAGAAATATTATCGAATACCGTGAAATCAATAAACACATAAAAAGAAAAATTAAACAAGCCAAAGAATCATGGCTTGAGAATTTATGTAAAGAAATAGAAGACCTCCAAAAAAAAGCATGACAGTTTCAACCTCCACAAGAAACTTAAATATACTGCCGGAATTAGAAAACAGAAAAATGCTCACATACTTCAAAAGCGCGGATGGAAAAATTTGTGATCACGAACAACAGTGCAAAGAATGGGAGAGATACATCACTGACCTTTTTGACGATGCTTCTAGAGAAAATGAGCTTCTAGAGAAAATGTTTATAACATTACCAAAGAAAAGCAGGCCCAGCAAATGCAGCGATTTTAGACTAATCAGTTTGATGAGTCACATACTGAAGATACTCTTACGAATTATACAAAACCGAGTATTCCTTATATGTGAAAGTAGGATGGGTGATAAGCAATTTGGATTTAGAAACGGTCTAGGAACTAGAGAGGCACTATTCTGTATGCGCGTTCTATCACAAAAAAACGCTGTCCAGAACGCTGGAACTCACTTAAGACATGGGTGTATGTTACCTAAAGTTAAATTT